TGTCTTGTAGAGTCTACAGGAAACTATTACTGTGCTTCGTTTGACAATAAACCTGGCTCGGGTTCCTTCGTAGAGTCTGTGGTCTTTGGGGGTTCTCTCAGGGTCTGCTGTGTCAGCTATCTGCGCAGAGCTGGGGCAGCACACAGAGGGAATACGCACGCAGCCGACTGTTATCATCGAACAAGAGCAGAGCACCACAGTGGTAGCTACTGACAACAACACACACACACACACAATATTTCATAGGGTTATATACAGATTTTATCAGCATGAATTTGGGATGGCTGTCATTACATAGTCTTCCCAACAAGTATTTTATTTGTGCAATTTATCACATGGTGGTCATTACCCTATATGTAGTATATTATCTTCTTATACGTATTAGTACTTACATAGGGATTTTAACTCATTCCACCTAAATTCCCTCTGTAGTTTTAATTCAATATGATTTTTTAATTATTTTCTACTGTTGTGTAGTGTTGGTGTACATTGTTAAATAGTTGCAGTGTTCCACTCTAGAAGTTTCTGCACTTCAGCATGGTGGATGATGGGATAAGATTTATATACTTTTTTCCTTTGAAAAGGATACTCTGCGTTAAAGGCATCAAGAAAGGGGCTAAGCAAAAGTCACTTCTGAGACAAAAGGAAGTTTTGAGAATATTAGGCGGTGAGAGAAGAGAGCTCAGGCTGCCCTATGAATCACTAAAAAATTAACGGTAAAAGTAATAATGTTGATGAGCATTGATCCTATTGTTCCTGCTGGCATCCAAAAATAGAATTAAACAGGAGAGCAAGATGAGTCACTGGTTACTATGGAGGAGATATGACATCACGAAATGCTTGTGAAGCTTAGTTCTCTCTCATTTCACCTGCTGGCAGGAGCAAATTAACCCTAGAGTTTAGCTCTCATTAAAACATTCCAGGTCAAGAGACAGAATTAACCATGTTATTTCTCTCTCATTACCTAGTAATTGGTCATTACCCATTGACCATGAGCCATTGGAACCTACTTGAGTGAACTCACGATATAATGAAACCCTGTTAACTGTAATCAGCTAGTTGCAATATAGGTTATATTAGCAACGTAGAGAAAAATTATTCCAGAGGAAAAAATGACTTTACTGTAAGGCCTTGTCTATGCTAGGATTTTTTCCTTAAAGTTTTCCAACTCTGGCTACCATCACTTCAACTCCAATAGTGATAGTAAAGGTGGGAGGCCTAGTGTAGAGACAGTACCAGTGGCGTGCCAGTGTTTCAGCCACCCAGTTTTGTAGACCTGCTCTGTGCAGGGTTAGACCACACAACCACATGCAGCTCCATCTAGATTAGTACTCCCAGCACTGCTACCAAGGGTGGACCTGCGCCAGTAGGACATTTTAGGAAATAACTTCTAGTATAGAAAAAGCCTACGGCCTGGTCTTATGCGAAAATTAGGTCGGCTTAACTATCTTGCTCTGGAGTGTGAAAAATCGACCTCCCTGAGCAACATAGTTAAGCGAACCGAAGTCCCCATGTAGACAGTGCTAAGTCAACTGAAGAATTCTTCCGTCGACCTAGCCACCGCCTCTCAGGGAGGTGGATTACCTATGCCAACAGGAGAACACCTCTCATCGGCTTAGGTAGTGTCTACACTTGAAATGCTACAGTGGCGCAGCTGCAGCACAGCATCTGTGCTGCTGTAGTGTTTAAAGTGCAGACAAGCCCTAAGAGGTTTTACAAAACATGGTTAGTCAACAGATGGGCACAAGGCTTTAAACTCCCTTCCTCCCTTTATTGTTAACTCCGTTTTCTATAATGGATGCTTTGAATGCCCCTGGGGCAAACTTGTACTACTACAAATAATAATAAAGTCCTACGTTTATATACTGCCTTTCCTCCCAAAGGATCCAAAAGCACCTTACAAACAAAACTCATATAGGGAAAAAAAGACCCTAGACTCACTTCACCCCACCACTCAAATGCAGCCATTTCTGGAGTGAAAAACAGCAATTGATTAACATCACTCAGCAACTCTACACAACAATTTAGGTCAAGAAGTGAAAAACTGACTCAGCAAGGCATTGTTTTTGGTCAGCAGAATGTAATTACCCAAAGTGGAATCAGATCAAGATACTGTGATTAACACTCCCGCTTATAAGGAGTTAAAATAAATGATTTTCCTTTTCCTAGCTGCTTTGAGATCACAGCAAGGGATTAGCAGCCGTTGCCCTATTCAGCCTGCCAAACAATATTTGGGGTTGAAACAGGGCTGCTTGATTCACAAAAATATCTTCCCCTGCTTATCACTGTACGGGTCAGGTTTCCCTTCTGTGACATTTACAAGCCAGTGCCTGCAAAAGAGAAAAACTACACAAAGATGTACACTGAAAAAAGGAGGATTAGGTTCACTGTGCCTATGTCTTACAGATATCTTTTATCTAGCTCAAACATCTTCATTTGTCTGCACACAAATTAAAATGCCAGTCAGTTTGATTTTTTTCTTGATCCTGTTACTTTGAAGGAAAAGCAAGAAATGCACGGGGGTGGAAAAATATAGGCAACTCCATAACGTATCTCATCCCAACTTCCATTTCTTTAGTAGCAAATAAATACTGGAAGTTGACCGTGAATAAAATTCAACAGCTCCAATGCATTGTCAGGACTATGCACTGAGTGCAAATGATGAAATCATTATTGCTACAATATAAACATTTGTTTTATTAATAATACACTCTGAGGTTCTTGAATTAGAATAATTATATACATGCAAAGCACTTTATATTCCTAGATAAACCGATGTAAGGGATATATATAGGGATCTGTTAATCCAACACTGAAATGCAGTTACCACTAGGATGGAATATGGCAGCTATTTAAAAGCTCAGAGCAACATTATACAACATAAAAGGACAGTCTCAATCCAAGTTTATTTCTATCATAAGCAAACTGCCAAAGCAGAAAACACAAAATTCAGGTTAGAGCATCTTGTTATGTGGTCTTTTTAGCATTTTGTACAGATCCTAATAAAAGATTTTAGTCTAGCAAGTAACAATAGAAAGATGATAGTTGATGTGAATCAGCAATATAGATTTCAGAGTGGTAGCCGTGTTAGTCTGTATCAGCAAAAAGAACGAGGAGTACTTGTGGCACCTTAGAGGCTAACAAATTTATTTGGGCATAAGCTTTCGTGGGCTAAAACCCACTTCACTGGATGATTAGGTTAGAGTAGTCGGCTGGGAGCCAGGCCTCTTCAGTCCTATTTCTAGGAGGTCAGTCGTCAGGATAACGACCGTGGTATAAAGATGGATAGATTCTATTGATTTGCTGAGTGATCTTGGACCATTTGTAAAAGAGGGTTAAAAATATCTACATCACCGGGGTGTTTATGAGGCTTAAATTAGTTTGTGTGTATAAGGTGCTGTGTGTATCCTAAGTAGATGTCCCCTCAAACAGCCCAAATGGTGTAATGACAGCAGTCTTCTCTCTGTCTTCCAGATCCAGTGCCACCTGGAAATACCCAGAGGTGAGGGCTAAAGATTTTGGCCCTTCCCAAAAGATCCAGAAACTCTGACTTTCGGAAGAAGATACACATCCTTTTGGGTCACCTGGATCAATCATGTATAATCACAGAAGAAAGAGACACCTCCATCTTTCTTCGCCACTATCACTCAGGCAAAGCCCATGGACCATCTCTTTCTTTGTGGATGCCTGGGAAGACCAGATCTTGCACATGTCAGTTGAATTCCTGGAAGACAGCTAGGGACACCCTCCTGTGTTTCTGTTTAATTGGTTCGGTTTTCTCCAGGAGGATTCGGTCAGTGACTGTGTTGGTATGCCCAAAATCAGTGTCATCTCTGGAGAAGAAAGGCATCCTTAAGTTTTTCCAATAACTTGACCAGTTGCTGTACCTGTTCTTCAGTCAGATCCTCCTGGTCAATCTGTACTGGAACTTCCCATTGCTGATTACCACTGGTTGAGCCTGGAGATGTCATACCTTCAACCTTGTGGATGTATAATACCTGATTTCACTGAGCATGACCTTTCCCACTGGGACTGTAGCTGGCAAGTAGACCTCAGCACTGTGAACCCTAGGATGAAGTAGGATGGTCTGTGCATTACCATTTAACACTCTTAGTGGAATCTGTCCATCCTTACTTCGGGCCAAAGTATTGGCCACATATACTCCTTTGGGCAAATCTGTTGCATGGGACCCTTCCATTAGAACAGAGCCCTGCTCCTGCTTTGACAAGGCACAACGCTGTCCTTCCAACAGTCTCTCACTAAGTGTTGGAATAATAACAGGCTTCTTGCTAACCCCTGCAGAATTCCCACTCTCCCCTCCTCATTTGACTGATTTACTTGACATTCGATCCTGGCTTGGACCAGGGCCACCATTGCCTTCCCATCCTGAGTGAAGGCAAACCATCTGAAGAGAGGCATGAGTCCAGTTAGCGCTTTGAGGATGTTCATTCCTACAATGCTGGGGATCAGTCTCTCCCCTGGGTTTGTGGTAATTGCATCCTTGATGACAAACATACTATTGTTTGGGAAAGCCTGTCCCAACAGCGTTATTGGCACATCAAGGCATCCAAGCATGGGGATTCTTAGTCCATTAGCTGCAGTTAACCTTACAAAATTCACATTCTTCATCGGTGTATACAATCCCAAAAGTGCAGCTGCAATGATAGTAACCTCTGAACCTGTGTCCAATAAACAAAGGGTAGGCACTTTGCCTGTCTCAATTCTACAACCAGACAGTCGCCAAACACTTTCTCCTTAAACTCTCGGTCAGAGTAATTTCCAGTAAACTTTCTTGCCCAACAGCAGCCATCTGATCTCCCACGGTAGTCAGGCTGTTTTAGATGGAAGAGTCTTGGTTGGAGCCTCCCCTTGAGAACCCTGGTTCTCCCAAGCTGTATGCCCTTGCTCCTCACAGAAATAACAAATGTACCTTTCCTGTTCCTCCATGCAAGAAGTCCACCATTCACTTCGGTCTTTTGACATGGGAGCTCCCTCCCTCACATTCACTGCCCTACTGCTCTGTGCTGTTATGAGTTGAAATAACTGCTCCTGTCATGTGGCCAGGAGTCAGATCTGTCTCGCTCAGACTGTCCAGTCTTAGATCATCCTCCTGGCCACTCTCAGATATGGAGGAGTGAACCAGGGCTCTAGCATGATTTTGGCTATGATAAATTGTTTGACTAACTCAACCTGAACCTCTGCTGGAACTTGCAAGATCCTCAGGGCCACTTTGGCAGCAGCTACCCACTCTTCCTCTTTGACAACTCCCGGTTTGATGGTGAAATCAGCGATCAGGTGATCACAGGGTATATATAATACAGCTGGCTGTGCTGACTGCTTCTCAATAAGGGTTCTGGCCAGGTACATGGCATCTCTCTGCTTTTCTAGGGCCTGTTGCAAGAACATGGCCTGCCCTTGGTACTTGGACTCCTGCTCGCCCAGTTTATTCTGGAGCTCTTAACTGTTCACGTATCTCTTCCATGGTCTTCACTCAAGTGCCACCATTCCCTACTGAGACTGAGCAACTAGCCGAGACTTACAAGTCTCTACAGACTAAGAGATGGTCTAGTCCACTCCTATTTGTGATGCCAAAATGTAACAAGGTTAGGGGCAGAGGTATTTTAAAATGAGATCCTTCCCCCCACTAACTTATCTCGGTGGGACAAGAAAGCAACCTGTCTCTCACCATCCCCAGAGTTACCCAGAAGAACAGGCTGGGGATGGTTCCTTGCCTGTGGGAATGGGTGGGACACTAGTAACTCCAGGTGACGTCCTTCTCTACCCAGCGAGGCAACTATGCAAGCAGGGCCTTGCCTGCTGCGATCTCAGAACACTCTTGGATTGGGTTTAAGGCTGCAATGCAATTACCAAATACCCTCCCCCTTGGAAACCATAGCTGCTCATGAGACCTGGGACTGAGCCTGAACATGGGAGACTATGGTGAAGGAGGTTCTAAATTGCCATGCCCTCTCAACACAGTATGTCCACAGTATGTCCTCTTACCCATATCAGGTCCATCCGTGAGGTGGAGTGCTCCCACCCAATTACTAGATAGGGATATATGAATTATTGGGAATCTAACTGGATAACAGCTTTATCTTGAACTAGACTGTTAAAAAGGGCACACACAGAAAATACCAAATCAAACAAAACATTTATTTTTCTCAGGAACAGCCTAAAAATGGGAGAAAATGTATTAACAGGTTTCAAAATATACTAAGCAGTTGAAAGGTTTTAAAATACACGAAACTATTTATTCTATATATATACACACACACATACATACACACAAAAACACTTTAAACAATAACAGTCTGTTGGTGGTGAACCTTGGCTTTTCAGACTGAGTGGCAGAAGGGGTGTGTGTTGAGGATAATCACCACCCACTAGGTTATAATGTCATTCAAAGTTCCACACAAATTAACGCATTAACGCAGCAGTGTTCATACCCCACTTTTTTCTCTTTTTCCGCAAGCCCCAAATCTTCCCCTACAACAGAGACCCAGGTTCAAAAGGTCACTTGATCATGTTCCCCAGTAGGCTTGTGCGAGTGAAGACCCACCTCTCAAGAGAGTGAATGCACAGGCTGAGTACTTACCAGAGGGAGAAGTGTTCAACTCCCCCACCCCACCCATTGTTAAGGGTCAACTGCAAAGGAGAAAACAAGAGAAAAGAAAAGAAAAACCTGTCCTCATCTGAGCTTAGGACTCCCCTGCCTGCTGCAAGGGGGTGGGGGGGGAGGACGGGAGACGACCTTTGTCCAGGGCTGTGCACCGCTCACGCAGGTCTATGCCTCAGGACTGGACAAGCCTTCGCAGAACCAGCTGCAGTTACCCCACAGGTCTGG